TCACTGCTGTGTGCAAGTCACTACAGGCATGCCCCTGCAAGGGACAGCCAGCCGAACTTGGCCTCGCTCACAGGCAGGTGCTCACTCGCTCCCATGACTTTCACTATCAAAGAGAGCTTCAAGGTGCCGCCGGCACTTACTGCACAAGTGACTCTTCCTGGCAAAGGCTGCAGAGATTCCCGCTGGAAGCATCCGCAGGCTCATTACCACATGAGAAGGAAGTGCGTGAGCTGCCAATTTCTAGTGAAACCTTTGCCCTCACTTGGCTGCTTTACCACCATGTGCCAGATGTTCAGGGAAATGAGCCCTAGCAAGCAAGAGCAATCCTCCTGATTCTCTAATGACGGGCAGAAAACCACCCTGGAATCAGCCTCGGTGCCAGGCTGTGATGGCTGTTTTGCATAACTGGTGTTTGTAAATTCCTGTTTCAGGAAGCACCCACCCTCGGCGCAACAGAGAAACCCTCAGCTTTTGACCATTATTTTAATAGAGAAGAGCACAGTATGACCAGACCTCCCTCCCCCTGTAATTCCTCTGGCACTCTGGGTATTCAGGGAGAGCTTCACTGGGAGACCTGGGGTGGTCTCACAGGCAGGGTGGATCACAATACATATGGGCAATGTCTCTTGGCAAAAAGAACAGTCCAGGAGAGAAGACAGTGTAACTGTTCTGAGTGACTGTCCCTGAGTAACCCACCTCTGGGGAAGCACCACCAGCAGCCGTTGCATGAGAAGAGGGATGCCTGGAAGAAGCAGCAGCAGGCTCGTGCAGCAGTGACTGCAAGTCAGCACTGCCAGACCACAGACACACTAACAGCTCACAGCTGTGACCCTTCTGCAATAACTGTGGGTTCCTGTGACAGCAGGCTGTGGGACTCCAACCCACTCCCTTTCCACTTGTACATCGAAGTATTGGGTCAGCATGCGGCAATCCTCCCCACTGCTGAATGTGTCCACCTTTCTCCATCCCACGTTCCTTCTTCCTCATTTGCTTGCAACAAGTGCAATTATTTTCTCCTTCAGTTTATTCTAATGCCTGTTAAAGGACTGAAATCAGATAACCAGGATTTTAGTTGACCAGATTCACCCACCTTTCCCCTTATAGGCAGGTCTACACTCTCCAGTGATACAGTACTGCCCTAATTTGCTACCAGCCTCACGTTTTGAGTGCCAGCTCATCCAGAGCCCTGTGACAGAGACTACCTTTGTTCTGCTGCTAATGCAGTATGAATATTTAGCCAAACCTGTCCTTTTTCTGGATTAATGTTTTCTTTCAAGTTTTTATTTGCTTCTAGATATTTATGGTTTAGGGCTAAATAAAAGCATTTGAGCTTTTACTTTTTCTTTGGTCCATATCCAGTGCTCCTCTTTCTGCATATAGTGTCTCCCAGGGCCCCAAGGCATCACGCAGATCTCTGGAACACTGCTGCACCAGACTGTATGTAACACATCAAATCCTCTGCTTCACCATTCTGCTGATGCTTCTGCATCATACTGATTCTTTATCCTTATAACATCTCCTGAAAATCCTCCTCTCCACAAAGTACTTACCCCTTCCTCAGTATGCAAGTACTGCCAAAAGACTAACATAACACGGAGCAAATCCCTCTCAGCTGCAGGGAGAATAAGCTTATCTGACTACTGACCCCAGCAATAAATAGCCATTCGCCTTTCATTTACTCTTTCTCATATAAACTCCCTTTGATTTCCTCAAGAGAGGACTAGGCAAGGATCCTAGTACCTGTCCCAGAATCTCTGGTGAAGCAGGTCCACGCAGCTCCAGGTCCAGTGTCTGAAGGAACTCAGCAAGACTCAGCCCACCCGTGAAACTACCAGGGACACATGCAGTTGCCATCAACGTTCAGGGGCAAAGGAAATATCAGAGGGCAGAGCTTGGTCTATTTTTTGAGGAATGTGTCTACTTTCACAGATGCCGTGTTCTTTAGCAGGATGCGTCTATTTCCCGTATCACCATTCTGAGGTCATACTCCTGACCATAACCCCTGGTTTGCAGCGGGGATGAAGCCTTGCAGAGGGACAGGCCTAACCTCACAGAAGGAATCAGCAACAGTGGCGTACAGAGCTCCTAGGCCAAGCAAGTGCCTCCAGATGAATCCAGGAAAGGAAGAAACCACCTTTTCTCCTGGAAAATCAGCTGACAGAGAAACAGAAACTCTCCACAGAGAGCACTGGCCAGGCATTTGTCATTTCGAACTTACCACACACCGATAAAAATACTAACACTCACTACCAGAACAAACAGACGCCTACGCCTTATTCCCGTAGCACTGTTCGTTCTCCATCGGGTCACTTCTAGCAAAGAGATGGTGCTTTTTGCATCAGTCTCCACTAGAAAAAGCAGCTGTGCTAGCCACCTGTTTCCAGCTAAAGCCAGTGACAGCAAGATCTCAGCCTCAAATAGAGAGATCAGACTAGAGAGGACAAGACAGATGTTTTCCGGTCACCTGGACCACTTCCTAAAGCATTCAATGAGCTGGCTCAGCAGCCTCAAAACAAGCAATGATTCCCTTCGGGAACTTGCGTAGAACAGGTAGGGTGTCAAAGGACTGAAAAATGGACAAAAGTAGTGCCTAGCCTTAAGAAGGCGAAAATGGGAGAAGAGTTGATTTATTATTTCAGTTCTCAGAATAGCAAGATTGACTATTGGAAACCACTTGAAAAAAAAAAACAAAAAATAAACACAAAGATGAGTAGCAGCCCAGGTGGATTTGTCAAGAGCAAATCATTATTGGAAAAAAAAAAAGTATTTCTTCATACAGGAAAAACATATCATACAGGAGAAGCAAGACATGAACTGGAATTCAGTAAGGCTTCTGACATATCACTTTCACAAACATGCCAAAAAATGTTACTAATGATACTGCTGTGATACAAGTTTAGAAGTGGCCAAAAAACTATCCAGGATGAGTTCTCAGTGGCCTCACTACAGAAATGGAAGTATGTTATTATTTTGGGGTCTGCCTAGGAACCAACTTTGTTTAGTGTTTTCTTTATCAACGTGGATGATGGAGCAAGAAGTATGTCTATTAAATTGCAGAGGACATGAATCTGGAAAGAATGGTGGGTATGCTGGAAAGCTCTGTCAAAGGAATTTGGCAAACTGGAGAAATGCTCTGGAAGAAAGAATTGGTAGGGACAAGTGCATGGGGCTGCTCTCTGGCGGGAAGAGCCATTGACACAAGCACAGGGTGTGGAGCTGGGGAGGTAGCTGCTCTTCAGTTCTTCCCGAGCCCTGGAGTCTCAGGGAACCAGACACTCACCTTAAGTCCCATGCCATTGTGGAAAAGGCAGACAAAGCAGTGGATGTATAGAGAATGAGAACGGGGAGGCTAGTGAAGCAGCTGTTCGCTCCCCTCTATTTGCTGTACTGTGTACATTTTTGGGCGCTGCTCTTTAAGAAAAAGATGAATCAACTGCTGGCATTCAAAAGAGCAACAGGAATTAAGAGATCTGGAAAACATCACCTACAAGAACTGAAAAAAAAAAAAAAAAAGGAGTGTTTATTCCAAAGAAATGAAGTATAAGGAGCCAACCACAAGAGCACTGAAGTAACATGCAACAAAAGAAGCTCAAGTTCTTTTCGCTCTTTGCCAAGCTGGGCACTGAAGCACTCAGTTAAGATGACTGCAATCGCTCTCCCTAATCTTCTAGCAAGTTTATACAACCTATTTGATGCATCTTTCCAGGAGTAGGGGATACCACATTAGAATCAAATGTAATTTGTTTTGAAGCAAACCAATCCCTCCTTTGAACTTCAAGCGAAACACTAGGAGTCCCTATCACTGCGTTCAGGTTGCAGGGCACCGACACTACCAGGGCTTTCCCTCGCCCAGAATGAAGAACAAGAGTGTGACACAAGGCAAAGAAAATTACTTTTGACTCAATTATTCATGTTACGAAAGCTCGCTTGTGCTTGCCCAGAGGCTGACAGGTAACTTCATCCATCTGGTACCAGGAAAATAATTGCAAGTGTGAGACAAGAGCAAGGTATGAGCCCTTAAGGCCATCTATGTAACAACCATATACAATTATATTCCCAGACTCTTTCATTCTGTATACGGTGAGCTGACAGCCTCCTCCCTCTGTCTCCAAACACGATACAACACCCCATCCTCTCAACATTAATCCGTTTGTCGGGTTATTTGTTGAAAAATCATTAAAGAACATTTGAAAGCAGATACATAAGATCTGTAAAACAAGTACTATTCCCAAATGGAGGGCATTTATTCTGGATTTCATGACAACAGATAAAGACAAACCATTCACTGAATGAGAAGCCACTGATTACAACCTGATTCTATTTAGGATGGGTGTATTACAGAGAACAACCCTGACTAGTAAAAGGTCCAGAGTACTTCAGAAGAGCACTGATGCAACTGATTGGGACAAAATATGTACATGGAGAAAGCAGTGGACTGAATGATGAAATTAGACTTGATACTGTTCTGGGTACTACTTTAGCCAAACACAAATCATGAATCTCAGTACAGCAATAACAGAGCACAGGGAAGTCACATTAAATATATGGATTGCACCTTTTCAAAAAGTTGTGCTGTTGTTATCTTGTCCTCCCCTCCTGTGCCATCACATCCTTATTCCCAAACTCCCATCTCCCCCCCTTGCCATTGCTCTTTTCCTTCCTCTGGTCTCAAATCCTAAGAGTCCATAAAATCCATGCAAAAGTTGGTCCTTTAAAATAAATAAAAATTTAATTAATTGTTCATAGCACACACTAACATAACCTTGAATAGAAAGTCTCATCTGTAATGCAAGGTCAGGATACGGAGAGGAGATGTCTTAGTGAAGCATATTTAATTAAAGCTGAAGTCCATGGAAGTAAAAATGCCTTCACTTAAATGCAGCAGGACACACAGAGGAACTCTTCTTGGACCAAAACACGGCAAATACAACTGCGATATCATGTCTGCCCACCATTTCTAATTAGGTAACCTTCACAAAGCCAGCTGACAGTGCTCTTACCACTTTCTCCTTGTAAACAATGTATTTCAGCCACTTGAAATCCTGCCATTTGAATCCCGCCAGAACAAAGAGGGAATCTTTCTCATACTGCTCCATTTTCTGGATTGCACCTTCAGGATATGTGATCCGGAGAGTTGTCTTGCCACCCACATCTTTTTCAAAGCCCTTCACAGGAGCCGAGTTCAGCCTGCAGGGCAACCAGAGAAGACACTGTCATGGATTCCCACTTAAACTCTTGCGTGTTGATGATACAGCAATCACTGCCGGGCAAGAGCTCCCTGTTCACAGCTGTTACAGCAGCAAATGTTAACTCTTGCAGTTCTTAATCACATTTATGAAGCTTTATACCAAGTGACAACAGTTCAATTAGAAGCTATTTAAATGATTTCGTTGAATATAATGCAAACCACTTCTGCACATCCACTGTTGTGATTTAAATCGGACTGGAAGCTTTGGGAAAGGAAACTGAAAAATACTGTCTTTGCGAATTTAGAGTTACAAACTAAGCATTAATATTTTAACACCACATCACTCCCAGGATATCTTTCTTGGATTCTGCAAAACTGTGCTGAAACAGAGGATATAGTGCCATGGTAGTTTAAGTGGACTGAAACTGGTCTCACGCTCCAACCCCAGTCCAAGCTTACATTGCTCATCTTACCTGCAGCGACATTGTTTAGGCAACTCAGCAAGCTAATAATTTCCAAAAAAACAAAGGAACAATCTCCACCTGGTTTAATTCCCCAAACTGGCCCATCCAGAAGGCCAGCTGCCCTGCAACGTGAAGGAAGAGGCTGGGCTGCGCAGCTGGGGTGAGGCTCAGCAGCACTGCAGTCTCGCTGACTCGGAGGAGTTTCTGCTGTGGAAGTGCAACACGCTCTGAAAACACCCAAGCCGAGACACAGCTTTGCTCCTGGGCACATTGATTCCTAAGGGAATGGTATGTGTTTAGCTGTGCTTTTGTTAAAACACCCCTCAGGGACAAAGTTTTTTCCCTTCAAAAAACAAACTGCTCTGGCGTTAACAGCAGTGATGACTTTCATGACATTAAAGTTATTCAAAACTTCTATTCACAGCTAGAAACCCAAAGCTGAGGAAATTTCAAGTAACTTGGAATACAAATCTTGCTGACATCAAACAGCAGCCCCTGATGGAACAGCATTGTCTGCTTGAATTATTGCAGCCTTCTTGACTTGGGGTAGTTCAATATACTGGAAAGTGCTTATGGACAGCAAATTTTGCTGTGTAGGAATGTTAATGAGGATCTGGATTTGTCTCTTTCAGCCCGGGTAAGCATTTTAGGTGGGAAACCTTTTAGTAGAAGAAAATCCCTGTATACAATCTGAAATTCTGTTCAGAATTAAGGAGAATAAATCCCTATGTGTTTTTAGTAAAAATACTGAATCATTAGGAATAAAATATTAAAGGGAAAACAACTTAACAATCGGCACCACCACAAGTTATACAGGGGATGAAGCCTTTTTTAGCAGTTTATAAACCCTTGCTTTGTACCCTGACCTTGAGGTATCTAGACCTGACTGCCTGCAGAAACAGTGCTCCCAGGCAGCCTGATCTCTTGTTTTTATGGCTGTTGCTGATGGTGCATTCATACATAACTCATTTTTGCTGTGGGCATTATTTAAACTCCAAGGTGTTGTGTCTCTTTGGGGTAGATGACCCTACATAATGTAAAAGCATGTGGCTCTAAAGGCAACAGAGATAAATGCAATGAAGTACTATGTAAAGAAAGCTAGTTATAAATATTTTCAGCTCTCTTCTTGAAGTTGAGGGGAAGGTTATTGTCTGCAGTCTTTTAAAATGTCAACGTGTAGCTCTTTGTCAGGGCTTTCCCCACTTCCAGCTGCTGGGTTAGCTGTTTTGCCGCTTACCTTGTTAAAGCTCCCAAAACTTGGGACCCCTACTTCGTATCTAGACAGGAAACAAAACAAACCATTTCCCCAAGTAAAATGAACTTAGGTCTCCAGCAAAGGGCCAGAAAGTGAGCTGCTGACAGAGTCACAGTGATGGAGTCCTGCTAATGAGCCAGCACTGTCAGCCCCACGGTCAGTGTCCCAGGGGCAGCGCAGGCAATGGAGCAGGAAGAGTTCTGGCAGCCGCAGCCTGTGTTCATGAAGGTGCATACTGCACAGCTTGAACCCTTTCTGAGGCAGGAAGGACACGCTGGTGGTTATAAACACAGCTAAATCTTAGAAAATTTCAGTTAAGATGCCAGGCCTTCCCGTACAGTCCGTGGATGGGCAGTTTTCTCTATAACAAGTTCCAGAGTGTTTTTCTGTCTGTGTCCACTGATGACATAGGGAGCTTAGATACAATAACTCCTCACCTTGGCACCACGAAGATCCTCTCAAGTATCACTGAAGTATCATCATCAGATGAATCCCTATCTCATTCTAACCAGGAATTTCTGATACACACTTGTTTTTCCCCTGTCTGCAATCTATTCTAAGGAGGCATTTCAGAGCACCGATGACTGACTGCTGCAAGAAGCTCCTGCCAGGTAAACAGTGTGGCAACTGCGAACAGTGTCTGCACTGAAATGTGATAATATGCAGTTAAAGAAAAACAGTACCTAACTCGCTCCAAGCTGTTTCAGAACTGTTAAAACTGATCTGACCCTCTTAACCACAAGATCAAAATTTCTTGCTGCAATTAGCAATCCTCACATGGACACGCATCAAGCATCAAAAAAATCCACATACTGCTGGATCACTCCTTCGTCCACAAATGTACATTTTATTCCCCTTAAAATCCACCTCCTAGGTCCCAAATTTGATCCTTCAAATGAGTTTGCAACCTATGAAAAAGGATGCTATGACACGAGGGTCTTGCTCAGCTTCCATAGCAGTAAAGGAAGCAGTTGGATACATTTAAGAAGTCTGCTCTGATCTCCTCAGTCCCACATCCAAGAGCCTGGTTTCATTTAACCTTTAAAGTTGACTTTTCTCTCCCTTATCCATCCCACAAACAGCACAGGTGCTTAGTTGCCCTCTTATCCTCTCAGCTTGCAAACTGACTTAGATTTACTGATGTGGAGAGAAGCGGTTGAGCTTTTCATTTGGAAATTAAATAGTGGACTTTCTGATGTAAATCTTAGTGGGTGGCTTAGTCCAGATGGATTGACACAGTTCTCTTGCTACTTTTTGGACATTTTGAGTCCAAGAAGAGGCTACAGCTGAATTGTAATTCAGCTCAAATAACTGCAAGTCACCAGACTATGACAAGTAGTAATAGCTCTTCAGTAGCAACTAATAGGGGGATGAACTAGGAGAAGGGCTGTAAAAGTTTTGTCCTCTTCTGAACAGTCATCCCTGTGTCCAGAGCACTGCCTGGGAAGCAGGGAACAGTTCACAGGAACAAAAGACTGAAAGGGATCTTCTTGGTCTTTTTGTCCAGGGTTAGAGGGTATTTATTACTCTGTGTATGTTCTATTCTTTCCTCATGTGCCCATTACTAGCAAATGGGAGAGAAAGCACACCATGCTAAGTGATACCTTCTCTCTGCCTTAAATTCTTTTACTAATCCCTTTCTTTCTTCCATCTTAGCTAGGAATTTGCTATTTGCCACCACATCTCATGGTTGACTAAAGTTCAGAGATTATATCAGTTACATTCCCTGTAATATGAAATCAGTTATCTTACCAAGAAAAAAAATACCAGCTTAGACAAAGTTAAACCAGTTTTTATAAACTTACACTGCTGTTTATTAAACTTCTTCTATTTAGCATCATAATATTTTATTACTCATGATTCAGAACCTGCTGTAAAGCTCTTCATCTTTTTCAGGTCAGACTAATGGGTCTGTAGCTCCCTAGAGCATGTCCCCCCTCCCTCCTACACACACTCTCTCTCTCACTCTCCATTAGTACAGGTATTATGTTTGTTAATCTCCAGTCACCCAGAACACCTCTCTGACTTGACAGATTTATTACTAAGAGTTATGACTAGACCTGTGATTTCACATATCAGCACGTTTTTCAAGCATTCTGAGATGGCGATGATCCAGGTCCTCCGTGAAAGCAAGAAGTCCTAACTTTGACTGTGGTTGTTTCCACTCCTACACCGCTCAGCTTCTGCTCCTTTATTCAACATCAACATCCGCAGCAAAACAGAGGCAAAGTATTCACAACTTCTAGGGTGCACCTACAGGTGTTTAACCATTCCTGGGTCCTCACTCATGGAGGCTTACTGCTTCCCAAGACCCTATGCTGCACTGTTCTTAGTTCTTCCCATCCGAACTGTGAAGTGTGGCTCCCAGGGAATGTTACACATGTATGACCAATAATACTTCCGTGAGTTATCTGGGAGATCTATCTGGGAGCAGATCTAACAGTACGTTCACCACCATCACTGCCTACGGGCATCACAAATGAAGCAGCTTTGAGAAAGGAGCTATGAAGAGAAGGTTCCAGTGGGATCATAGGAGAGAGCACATTCCCAAACAGCTGTGGAAAATGGAATGCTTGAGGAGTGCCTTTACCCTTTCATGTGTTCATAATTGATAAGAAACACTTATATGCTCTTTGTTTTTCCCCTCCATATCAGTTAATATGCCCATACTAATAGAAACTGTCACTAGTGTAGGTTTAACCTTTGCCTGCATAGCATGTGAAGCAACTCAGAAACTGAATATATGACAAGAAAACTGTGATGGTAAAGACTCACCTGACAACAACATCATAGTCATCAATTTTTAACCCCAATGACTTATTTGCAAGTACTCCACCATTTCCCACAATAATACATCGCCGGCAGCTGAGACTGTGGAAGAAACAGAGGAAAGAGGTGATTTTTGTAACATAATTTCAAACACATTGAGCTGCACATATTTAGTTTGCACCTATCTGAGAACTACAGGAAACCTTTTGGTATACTAAGGGGAGGACAGAGATACGCTTGATCCCCAGCTCACCCCATCACGCCTGGGCATTACACGTGATAAACTGCTTTCAACACCTTGCACCACGTGTGGCCTAATGAGATGAGCTGCCAGGGCAAGCAGCTCCTCTCCCCCCACACCCCTGGTATGATGGGCTTGAATCAAACCCATCTGTTTATTTAAACCTTCTCATTATTCATTTTGCACTGAAATAACAATAAACCAAAGGCTTAGTGAGGAAGTCTTCTCTCCAAGCAAATTTCTGAGTGCAGGCAGATCTTTCCAGGTTATCTGGGGTGCGCTCACCTTGCTGAGTGCAAAATTGCTGCAGTTATTATGAGACTTCAAGAGATAGAAAACCACAAAATGGATAGAAAAAGGACACCCGCACACTCCTGTCCATTAGGAAATGTATATGGAGACATAATGGGTGCGGAAGGGGAAGGAAAATAACCTTAATTAATGAAGAAACAGGAAAGAGAAGGAAGAGGACAGTTTCTTGTGGAACCATGAGTCACGAGAACTCTCTGCAGCAGATGTTAAAAAGTGATTTCGTTTTGAAGAGAGAGAGAGGACTTCTTTCCAGCCATCTAATCCCAAACGCAGCTGGCTCTTCTGGCAACATGCCTCCATCTCTCGTAGTTCACTGAAGTAATACGTGTCTGCAGAGCCTTTTTCGGAAAGGGTCCAAGGCAATCAGTTGTTTGGAGCAGATCTTTGGGCTAGGCGGCCTTCCTAGTCCCAGGCATGGTCAACTGGTCTCTTCTAGGCTGTCCTCACTGTGATCAGTCTAAAGAGCTGGCATGAGGAAAGCTCTACTTACGTGGGATTCATCTTTGCAGAGCAGGGCTGGAGCGTACTTAAAGACTAAGCTAAACCACCAAGGGTTACCCCGCTGACAGAGCCATTACTTGGAGATATGCACAGAATTAACAGCACCATGTACTTAAAGACTAAGCTAAACCACCGAGGGTTACCCCGCTGACAGAGCCATTAGTTGGAGATATGCACAGAATTAACAGCACCAAGAAACGCTCAGGAGCAGCTTCCCCAGCCCAGATGAAGTTTCACTGCAGATTCCAGTCTTTCCAAAAGAAAAACATCCTCGAGGAGATGCCCGTATTAGCCCAGTGCTTGTCCCCTAAGGGCTGAAGAAGGTGGATGTTTGTGATAATCAAATCACAATAGAGGATGAACTTTATAGGCAATGGCACAGGAAAAGAATACAGTTCTGGTGACAAGGAGAAAGCAGAGGCAAGATCTGGTTCAGGCAATATATTGGGTCAAGGATGGAAGGGAGTCAGCCCCAAATACACCCAACTGAGTGACAAAGATGGTAACAACTTTGTCAAAACTTTTGAGGAAAAGGTGTTGCAAGTGGAAAAAAAGAGACAGTTCTGTTCTGGCCAAGTGACATTTTTTTGTCAAAACTTTTGAGGAAAAGGTGCTGCAAGTGGGGAAAAAAAAGACAGTTCTGTTCTGGCCAAGTGACATTTCAGATTAAAATATGCTCTTTTGATGATTATGATAAGAAAGTTTGACCTCCTAAACAACAGACTACTGGGTGAAATACTGTCATTTCTTTACTCCATTATCTTTGAGCCATGACTTTTTTCTTAACTTTACGTTTTGAAGAAGAATACCACGCTGAAATCCAAAGGCTGCAGGCTACAGACACTCCCCTCTATCCCTTTCCCATTTACTCTTAGGACGCTAGCTCTCACCAATTTTGAATACAGATATGTTTGTTTCAGCCTCAAGCCACTTTATCACATTCTTCTCTTTTCTGCTAAATTAAAGCACCATCTACTGTCAGCAGCCTCGTCCACATCTGCATGTGATCCACTTACTGACAAACCACCCTGTGTAAACATCTGCCTCTAGGTGGATAATCATTCCCGGGTCAAACCGGTGAGCATGAGCTGCTACACGAGATAAAAGAACCAGTTTCATCACCCAAAGGTGTTCCAGCAGCCCCTCTTCAGGGCCCTGTTCCCACACAGTACTTGTAGACTGATCAAAAACCATTCTTAATTTTCTCTTGACCATACAAACTGGAGCAAGCTCATCACATCTCTTAAGGTATGGAAGTTCTCCTAGACTTTGAGTCACATTTGCAGTACCTCTCTGAACCGTTTTCAACTTCTCCCCAGATCTCCGAAGCACTGACTCTGGAAGACCAGCATGCGGAGCTAATGCTGCTCAAAGCCGGGTCCCTTTTACACAGAGATTTTATGTACATCATTCCAGTGCTCTTTTTATAGTAATTGGTCTGCAGAATATAATCTTGTACGTGTGATCTGCATTGTCACCTCTGAGATGCCTGACTTTTGATTTGGCTCCAGTAAAGGAGTGTTCAGAGAAGGGCCCTATGAAAAGGTCTCGGCTGTCCTGGTCCTCCTAACTCCTTCCTTCCCCAGTCTTTGGCTCTGGCAGATTTTCCTAGTGTAATTTTACATTTCCTCTAGATTGGTTTTAACTACTGCAAACACCTGCCAGCAGGATTACACTAGAAGTGTCACTAAAGGATTAGTTCTCAAGCCTGGCAGTAACTTTTTAAAGCTGTGTGACATATTCCATTCCTAAAAAGGATATGACTACAACAGTGTTGTGTAGAATAAGAATATAATGGACTGAGTCAAATAACTAATGCCTATCTTTAACAGGTTACCTTCATCAATCAAGCTTCTAGTTCATCTAAAAAATACATCCTCTGTGTGACAAGATTTAACTTGCACAAAACCCAAGATAACTGTCATCAGTTATGCTGCCCTCCTACCTCCATCTCAGAACTAACGTTCCAGGATTTTTCCTGCAAAACCAAACTGATCAACTTACAGCCTCCTCTTTGTCATCTCCCGTATTCCTCCAGGAATGGTACGACATTTGCTGTTCTATCCAGCATCCCAAGAAGGGATAAAAAGCAAACAGTAATAACAAAAAGAATTCTTTATTTAGCTCTTTAAATACTCTTCAGTGCTTACTGATTTAAAAAGACATCTAATTGTCATTTAACATCCTCACAGTTACTCATAAAACCACAAAAAGTATTTCATTGCTGCTGTAAAATGGGACAACACCATTCTATCTTTACCCCCCCAAAAATGAAACAAATCTTAACTGTGTGGTTCTGCCTTTACTCATCTTCTATCTTTACCCCCCAAAAATTAAACAAATACTTAACTGTGTGGTTCTGCCTTTACTCATCATAACACCACCTTTGCCCAGCTTCGTGTCTGAACCACTCTTATACCCTTGTGGTCTTGACATATTTATAGGCGTCCTCCTTTTTCATTAAGTCCGCAGGTAAGATTTTTCATTACTATCTTTTCGATGCTAAGGTCTAATCTTTGATCTTCTAGCAGCTTTTTCTTAAATTTCTTTCAAAAGTACTCTGCCCACTCTCATCACAAAGCTGGAGGTTCCTGTTGCATACTCAGAAGTATGCAGGTGCAGCTTGCTTTCTTCAGGTGCACAAGAGGAAGACATGGTTAGTCTTGGACTCTGACTGGGTTCTGCACATCAGGTGTGTACATCATGAGGAAGACATGGTGAGTCTTGGACTCTGCCTGGGTTCTGCACATCAGGTGTGTACATCAGGTCTGGGCACCCAGGACTGTTTTGACCAAGACAGGCAGAAAGGTGAGCTGGCTTGGTCTCACCAGCTTTGGCAATCACACTGTGGGACAGTGAGAAGATTGCAGGGCCACCCTGATGGCACTGTGAAAGGGAAGCATTTGGCAGGGATATCAGGCACCTGACCTCGCATCCCAACCAGAAGTTTGGACACTTGGCATCGGTGTAGCTGGGCTCCTTCACTGCCAGCGCTGACTGATGGTGCCTGAGCATGGGAAACCTGCAATGTCACTGCTGGCTGCAGGCAAGCTTCCAGCTGAAGAAACACGGCGTGCAAGCAGCATCAGTTACAGCTCAATTGTTTCTCCACAAAGAGGTGTGCAAACACCTTTTTGTTTGTTTACATAGTATGTCAAAGCGTATTTCTCTTCCAGAAGAGCTCAAGGACTGTACACATCGGATGCAGTCTGGTTTCCAGGTTGCTACGAGGGTGGTATGAAGGAGGGTCATGGACTTTCCACACCAGACAGACTTTCCCTAAAGCCCTACGCTGGGAGCTGCAGCCAGATGTACAGCCTCTTGACACAGATGCTCAGAGTTCATCTGCACCCACCAAAACCGAGTTTCACACAGATTTTCTTGAACAATATAGCACTGTAAACACATGTATGTGTTGTAGCAATTGCTACTTCCTCTTCTTCTCTTATCAAAGCACTTAAGGGATTTGTCAGGGGAGAGAAACCACAAAGCCTTCCTTTACGCAACTTTGGAACTTAAGGCTTTGAGGAAAGATATACCAGAATAATTAAAAAATACATCTTTAGGGTAACTGGTGCTTAGGGAGGCTTAGCATATTCTGGTTTGATCTGGCTGCTGCTACTTAAACTGGTACTATCAACCTGAGCCAGAAGGACACACACATCTCCCTTCCTGCTCTACCAAATTCCTTCCTCACTTGTTAGTTCATATAGTGCATTAGTAAAGACTGTTAGTTACAAGCTCAGACTCTCAGTTTTCTTTCTTTACCACCTGGAGGCAATACAAAAAGGTCAGTCAGCTTTTTAGATTTATGTCTTTTCATAGGAAGTTTACAGGTCATCACCACAGAGATTTAACCCCAAAATCGCCTGAAGTCCAGCCAGCAGAAGAGCCATGGGACTAGAAACCAAACCCTGATTGATTTACAGAATGAGGGGCAGGCCGCTGGAGGAGCCACTAAAGCAAGCAGTGAAAATGTCAGTGGTATAAATGGGCCTGGAAAAGCTGACAGACGTCAAGTGTCAAAGACAAGGCTCACCAACATCTGCGCTAGGGAGAAAGCCATGCCAGCTCTGAAGGAAGAGGACACTGATTCTAGAGAAAGTCCCCTGGATCTCCATCTTTTCCAGAAAAGCTCAGAGCTGAGTTGCAACTACCCTCACAAACACAGCTTTACCCACCTCCTGCCCTAGAGCAGAAGCAGGTTACTATAAGCAGTTCAACACAAAGGGGCCATAATAAGGAGTCATGAAGAAAACTAAGAAAGCATGGCATCACTTACACTGTGTTACAGGCGTGGACTACAGCATTTGTTCACATGCCCTCCAGCTGTTGCTAGTTATTACTCTGCTCACAACAGAGGGATTAGTTGGGAGTGAGTTGGCAAAGCTGCTTTGGGATGATGAAAGGTGCACGCACACCCGGAAGGATTGAGTTTGCCTCATTTCAGCACCATGTCGGTACATTGTGTGAGGAAAGGTGCATCAGGATGCCCTTTTGACAAAGGGATAATCAAACAAAAGTTCATTTCCAGGGCTTATGGGAGGCAAGTGAAGGTAACATCTCAAGGGACAGCTTTGTGAAGGAGGACAGAAATGAAGAAGTTTGGGTGGGGACAAGACCAAAGGCTTGGTGCAGATTCCCCACCACACAATTCTAATCCCTTCTTTCCTTCCTCTGCTCTCACGCACTGCTCTGACCTCACCTCTCCCACCCTTCCCCTGGGAAAGCTGCGTTCAGCATGTGGTTACATGAACACTTGCTTCAATGGGCTCGGCAGCACTCAGCCTCCCCACCCATCCCCAGCCTCTGCCTCTCGTGCTGCCGTCACAGCACTGTGACAATGCAGCTCTTGAGCGAGAGGGGAGCTCTGCAAATGAGGTCACTGGAATGACCCAAGTTATGAGAAATACTTTGAAACTGGAATCAGTTCTGTGACCCACTTTAAAGTCCCTCTTGAAACAATAGCACCAGCACAAGGAGAAGGTAGGGAGCTACAGGCTGAGAGCAGACAGCAGCAAATATCTTTCCATCTCTTCTGGAATACAGGCTGGCTTTGCCAACAGACAAAATCTTGGTGTAACTCCGTCTTGAAGAGAAGGTGAACCTGGAGCTTTCCTCCTACTGCTACAACCACCCCACTAGCCTTCTGAGAGCATACAAGGGGAAGGGTTCACAAGATCTAAGTCTGACCCCTTGTACCTCACAGACTTCAGCTGTGACTCTTATCTAACTCTTTTACAATAATGCATTTTTTTCAGCCCTTAATCACAGAACCATGGAATGGTTTGGGTTGGAAGGGACCTTTAAACGTCCCTTAAGTCAGGCTTGCTCCAGTTGTTCCAAGGTGGTGAGCAAAGGGGAGAGGTCTGGACTTCCTCCTTGACCAGTGAAGGGAAGGAAATGAGCTGAACATCAAGGCCCTACTCCCACAACACTGGGGCTGCCACAGAGAGGAACCATTGGGCTCTGCTTTGAGATTGAGACAAGATGAGAAAGTACCTAAACTTCCCTCATCAGTCTGCTCCATCAGCTCTCCTGGAATCCAAAATGGCAGAGACCCACTGCTGACAGCACCACAATTCATTGAAGATCACAGCTGAAGAACATGTTGGGAAGCACACCCAAGCCTTCATCTATGCCCTACTCACCAAGCAGGTTTCCAACAGCAGCACTGAGGAAGCCTTAAAACACCTCCTACAGTACCCAAGCTCTCTCTCGTAATTACCCCTCTGTTGCAACTCCATCCACCTACTGCTTTAGGCTGTCCCTTTGCAGCTTGCTTTTTCAAGCCTTTCTTGTCGCTTTCTCCCACACCAGCTTAAATTTTTATTTTTCCTCTCTAAGACCTGCTCACTTGGAAGGGCTATAGGAGGTATCTGACTGTGAGGCATATGTACTACAGAACCAACATCCACTACTTTGCATTTATCACAAAAATTTCTAAGAAAACAGTATTTTCCCAAGATATATGGGTGTTAATAAGCATACACACCACCAAATCTTCATATTCCAATACTACAGAAATACATTTCTAGCCTGTTCCTTAAGTCTTGTTCATACTTGATATCTCAGGGACTTCACATACACTCACCCACCTTTTACAAAGGCCTGAGTGTTAGGTCTTCCCTGTCTCTGCACCAAAACCATTACAAAGAATGCAAAACCAAAGCAAGCAGCTCATGCTAGAGTAGCTATGTTTCACAACCTCCTGAGAAATTACTTTAAAAGAAAACAACAAAACACATTCTATTCCTCAAAAAATAGGTGAGCAGCAAGGGTCACAATTACATTAACCTTTACTGCACGAATCTTCCACCTGCCCTCTATCATTAACACTAATTTCCCATGAGCAACCTTCTGAAAGAGTCTATATGTGGATTTTTCAACAGATTAAAATCTTAATCCTCCAACCAGAGCTAAGACAAACCCCAGATGGGTGAGACTCAGTTGTGTGCAAAATCTCTAAGAAGGTCATTTGTAAAATGATTTTGCCTTCTGGACATAATTTCTCAAATTAATCCAAACTCTGGAGGCTAACCCTATCCGACATTGCTGTGAGGCAAGGCAAACTTCAAAGCAACTTAAATTAGCACACGGATTGCAAAAAAACTAAGAATAAACTTTAACATAGAGAGTAACTCCCAATGCTAACTACAGCAGGCAAGCTCTACAACCAGCATGAGAGATGTGGAGACCTACAAAAAGGTTGGAAAAGCTTATGAACTTTGTCATGGAAAAGTGGGTAGAAGGGAAGCTGGGAAAGGAAACAAAACCAATGTATTTAGAACACAGGAACTGTGTTGTTACCCTGGGTTCAAGGAAGCACCACTGCTTGGAAAGGAGTAGTACCAGGACTTTGAAAAGAGATCATGTCCCAGTAAAAACCTCTGACAGCCTCTGAAAAAAACTACCTCTAATCTGGGAGGTGGCACTAAACAAAAACTGCAGGGCAAAGGGAAGGGATGACAGAAAAGCAAGGATAGGAAAGACTAAATGACTGTCATTGGGAAACTGATCGTAAACATGCCAGTGAGTTTCAGAAGCAAGCTCTACAATAGGACCGAAGAATCAAAGGGGCTCATTCCACAGGACCCAAGAGAACTGCATCTCATCCTGGCACAGGTTTGGCCAACACCATCACACACTTCTGCTTTAAGAGTGAGGTATTAGTGAAACACTGTTAAAACAAGCCAGTCCCTTCTTTCCTTCTAAGAGCTTCTTGTGATCCTGTTGCTTTGTCGGAAAGGCTGAAAAAGAATAATGTATTTATTGAAAACTTGCTATTTACTTATTTGAAAAAGGGGCAAGACGGTGTATTGTGACACCATATGAAACAAAAGATTAGGAAATAGTCAAAAGGTAAATGCCTCTTTCTACTCATGTTTGACTTAACAGAGGTCTCAAGAGTTTACAGATTTACTGGAAAGAGGACTCCGTTTCCAGCTCCTGAACTACCTCCAAAGCACAGCCAAATTTATTGGCAATAATTTCTGGCAAAAATATCTAGCAAAATTTATTTAGGACATGTGGATAATAATCACTTCTACTCCTTCTATTCTAAAAGGTCTCATCTTACCTGTCAAGAGCTGGAGTTAGGCGGTAATCTTTGGTTGCTGACAGGATGGCTTTGATCAGATTATCTGGGGAGAAAGGAAGACGACATTAGGAACAAGTTCTCAACTCCAATGGAAATGAAAAACAAAGTGATGTGAAGCATATGAAGCAGTTACTTGGAGCAACTGAAATATGGTTCACATTAGGAATAACCACTTTAACTTGCATATTCCTATTTTCTCTGGACAATGACCTCCACACGCTGACTGCAAAGACATGTCATGTGCCAAATTCTGATGCAGTGTGCAAATGCCTTGCACAGAGAGAGTAACAGGGAACAAACAGTACAGTTTAAAGCAGTGGTTTCACACCCACTTCCCTGAGACTGCAGTTTCACAAACACTTCAGCCATGAAAAAGCCAATACCACTGTCAATGCTTGCTTTCAGACAAGCTTTTATGCAGCTGGGTGGTGATGCAGGAACAGAACCAGGTTAAAACTGTTTGGTGGTTTTTTTTTTTCTTCCTGGATTACTTTTGGTTTAGGTTCAGTTCCTCAGTCTGGCTTTCTTCTTGGCAGAATGTAATTAAACCATCACAGCTGCTTAAAGAAATGTCCATGGATCCACAGCCTACAATGATACCCAGTGAACGCTGCAGCAACCAGATGGTATAAGTTATGCAAGTGTAGACACACACACACACAAATTAAATGTATTAAATTGTACAAGCACAATGATTACACACAAATAATTCTATAAACTATGGAAATTTTTGAGTCTGCTTCCTTCTAGATTTTGTCCTTTGTCCCTGATTTTTTCACCACTTTCCCCCATAAAGGTCCAAACTCCTTCATCATGACCTGCCCAGGGCCAAGAGGCAGCAGCGCTCTGGCTAGTCAGGATTTACGAATGCACCAGTAACTTCAGAATGGCTTTACTGAGCCTAACAAAAAGTCCATCTATCTCCAAATCCAGACTCTAACTGTAGCCTTAAACTGATGTCTAAGAGGAGAATAAGAACAAAGCAATCACACATGATACTTCCCTGAAATACTCTTCTACTCATCTTCATGTGTCAGGTATAGCTTCTATGTACCTGGCAACCTTTAGTGATTTCTCTTGCACAAGCTCAGATTCCTCCTGAATCCATAGGGACTTTTAATTGCTTCTCTTTTCTGATTTTGGATATGGCTTCTCTGAGCTTTATTTATACTGGAAAAGATGGTGAACAATCGGTCCTCTTCCACCTTCCCTTAAATGTATTGGTCAACTAGTTCATAAGTTCTTAGTAAACAACCAGTCAAAAGGAATATATAAGTCTCATTTCTTGACAAGCAATTAAAAATTACATGGGAATATTAAGAAGACTGATGTCAAGTGATTGTGGACAGTGAACTTAAGTACTTTTCCTGATAGACACTACTTACTGCAATCAGCACAGTTAGGGGAGTCCCTTTCAAATAAAGAGTTTTGTTCTTATTTACTGTATCACTCTGCAGAAACTACAGGATGAGGTGGTGAGATGAACACACAAGCTCAAGGCATCCCATTTGCCAAAAAGCTTTGAACCTGACAACAAACTGGCCAGACACAAGGCAGACAAACAATGGTGATAAACAGAAAACTCTTGTCAATTACTCGTAAATTTGGGGAAGTTTTGGACATGGCATTACTGACAGCCCCTGAAAACCATGACAAGTTGGGAACTGTGATTACTTTGAGAAGATCATATTTTGGAGTGGAGTAAGGAAAGAGGCAATTTGTAGGGTAAAAGCAACTTACTTTGCTAACAAAATAGTGGTTTTGTTTAATTTTCCTTCATCTGAAGAATTTCTTCTGACGCATTGGCAGCAGGCTCCCTCTCCAACAGGAATGCTATTCCCCTAAGTCTGCTGCAACAGCAGTAGGTTGTTGTGACCTCTAATGGCACCATGCCACAGTCCTCTCCTTGGCCTGTCTCATATGTTGACTTTTACTGGACAGTATACGCTATTGTGGTTGTTTTCCCACACTCTCAGAAAAGAGATCAAAGGATTGCATGTCAAGGGCTGCAACCTCCCATCTATAGAGACTTTCTTATGCCAGGTTTGCTCTACCACCCACAAGTTAACACCATGCACTATTTTGAGGCCACACGTTATACTATATTAAAAAGCATATTAAAAGGAATACAAATCACAGAATCACAGAATGTTAGAGATTGGAAGGGACCTCGAAAGATCATCTAGTCCAATCCCCCTGCTGGAGCAGGAACACCTAGATCAGATCACACAGGAACGCATCCAGATGACTATTGCACTCAAAAATTCAGTGTTTCTCATCTTGCCAGCTAATTAGTAATGCCTTCAAAGTCAATGCTCAGGGATGAAATACAACTACTTAAGGGCTGGTTATGGCAGCACTTGGGATGGTGATGCTCCCCCTTCCCATCATCCAGAGAGAGAACACAAACAAAACAAACAACAATATAGGACATTCAGTACAGATTATGAATAGCCAAATGGGAGATAACCTCTTCAGCAGCCCCCACGGTCCAACAACACATGGCATCCAGGAGGTTTGGAAGTTGCACAACTCACTGTGTTATCATTCAAAACTGCTGAAGGAAGCTCAATAAAAGACAAAGTACTTCACTGCCAAGTGTTGACTTGCATCAGGAATGAAGGTGGCACAGATGCCCTCAGTGCCGGCTTGTCTAGCCTAGCATCCTCATCAGAAGCCAGAAGCAGGAGCCAGAAGCACTAACAGGAACACCTAATGGTCTGGACAGGGGAGAGGCACTAGATCTTTTTGATTGAGCTGTAACTCTAGTAAAAGATGGACACTACACTGCTGCTGACGTGGACACTTGCATTTGGCACCTTGCTCACTGGCACCAGGATAGAAGGACAAGACCTCTTTCAGAAAAAGCTTTGGTATCTTCCTGGGGCAAGGTTAGAAGGATCAGCAGATGCTGCTGTGGCTGATCTGCAACATTGCACAAGACAATGAAGATGCCTACAATAGGGAACCATCGACAGGATCTTTTACCACAGTAATTTATGCTAAACCATTACCTGATTTAGTAGCAAATCTGATCTGCAGCAGACCTGGTACACTGCATCTCAAGCCACCAAACCCCTCTGCTGGGGTGGGACAGCAGTGGGAACAGCTGGCACCCAGGGCAGCGAGTTTCTCCGGGGTAGGCATATTCTTAAGAAAGAGAGATAGAGCCCATGACTGGCACCTACTTGCATGGAACACAGCAAAGAACAAAGAACAGAGCAACCCCAGATCAGTGTTTCAGGGGAGCACATTTCATTCCTGATAACTGTCAGCTTTTCTCCATTCATCCATCCATTTATTTTCTGTTTTTTTTAAAGGCACCAGCTGCACATGGCCCTTGCTTTAACATGAACTCATACTTAAAGGTTGTTTTATTAGGGCAACAGCTATATAAACAATTTGTTTTGATTTTTTTTTTTTTGCAGGTGGTTTCCCAGGTTGTGAAGAAACCATGGCACGGATGCAGACACAATGCTAGCCCAGGCACAACTTCTCTCTTGCTTGGCAAGTGAGAAGAACAGACACAGTGGTGGGTGTGCTCTGCTTTGTACACCCGTGTACCAAGGAGGGGCTAGAAGGGGCCTACGTATACATGTTCTGAGTACTACAAAGGAAAAAATCCTTCCTGTTACAAGCAACAGGCATGTGTGCACTAACCGCTTGCTTCCAAGAGCCCAGGCACACAGCCAGCTCAGGTGTAACAGAATTCATTAGCTCAGACACATCCCCTTTCAAACAGGTCTCTTATTCTTTCAGGGCCATTTCTGGTCTGGAAAAGTTTCAGCTACTTCTATTCAATGCAGAACCCCACCAAATCAGCCCAGCAGACATGTCTCAGCACCATACGCCCAGAAACATGAACCGTGGTGAGCACGGCACAGAGACCTGCAGGGCTCCATGTAAGGTCAGCTCAGACCAAGCAGAATTTATTACCTGCCATTCACTGCTGGCACAAAGGCAGCTCCCACAGCCCCAGCAGCTCTATGTCATGGTAACCCTGGAGCTGGCAGTGCTGTACCATGGCTACCTCACACGCTCCTTGGAATCCTTCAGACATACAGAGCAGGCAGGAACAGAACAGCTCAGGTAAAACCATGCACTTCTCTTCCTTGTCACTCTCCTCTCCTAACCAGTACAGAAAAAAAGGTGAATTCATCTTTAAAAAGCATTTAATCTTTGGCCTCTTCCCAGCTGCCAAAAAGGCAGCCCAACAGGTGCTGATTAGCTTGATGCTTTGTGAAATACAAACTTCCCACTGAATTCAAACACCAAACTTGTCTCATGCAGATCATCCAACAGCCTTTCAGTGGCCACAGTTTCAGTAACCGCCTGAAGGCTGAGTAAACCCAACAGCAATATGTCTTCCTGTTTACTGTTCCTCCTCCATCCTCACGAGATTCAAGGCAGATGCGACCAATAGTAAATCCTTCCCCTGGTCTGTAATTAAGCACTGATGTTTAAATGGCAGTGGCGGTGCCATGATCCTTAGGGCTACAGACATTAGCTGTCCTGGGAGCGGAACACATCTCAGCATCAGCTCACGATCAGCCCGTTAGTTGTGTTAGCTCTAATAGTTCATGTCAGAAAGAGAAAATGTAATGCCTTGGTTCTGCTTGCCTGAAACCATCCGTACGGTAGGCATACAAACATAGCGTACATACATAGGTTACATATAGGGAGGAACATAGGTGCTGTTTAGTTCTGAAGTATTAGGCAAGTGAACTTACTCCAACAGTAAAAGTGTGTCTTTTATACGGCTCCTTCAAGTCAAAGGCTATAAGGTGATACGTATACACATATATATAAACATACATGCATATTCCCGAATTCACCCTCTCAGGTCTTCCACTTTTTTCTTCATTTTTTTCTTGTCATGAAGAATTTAGACTATTGGGGAGGGTGGGAGATTATTTAAACCATTCATTATCAACCACTGTGCATACACTATTACTATACAAACAAAGTGAGAAGCCTCTGCACATTTTCCTCCCATCTAGAGGAGGAGTTGACTACATTTATCTAAGAATCCTGAGTTATCAT